TTTGTATGTTTGTATGTTTGTATGTATATAAATATATATATATATATTATATAAATATATGTCATACTTTTAATATATCTGGTAAATACTTAAGGTATTTATAAATACACATGTGTATGGATATCAAATAACACTGTTAATTATGTATATATCTTGACTGTCGACAATGCTAGCTAACTATAAATATATATATATATATATATGTGTGTGTGTGTGTCTATGTATCTATATATATATATATATATATATATATATGCAAAGTCCATACTGTTTATTGATATGGGACAACTACTACATGACCTACATACAATATATAAATATATACATTTCACTTATATATACACATACTCCCCTGTGTATACATTACAATATACAGTCAAAAACACGCTCTGGCACCACAGACGAGACCGCCTGTACTGTGCTTGGCCCGGGTGTGAACGTTCTAGACTGGCGAAAGACCGTTCTGTTGGAGCTGTTCAGACTGGTAGCTCAGCGTAGTTGCCACGCTACGCTTCTCCGTAATGTGTTTCTCATGTACAAACACGCACACAGGGCCCAGTATCCACACTCAAACGCAAACACACACCACACACACAAGCCTTTGTTGGCTGTACCGGCTAAGAACACTGTCTCGGGTGAGTGGGTGCTGTCTGTGTATTAGTGTGGGTCTGTGCCAATGAGAGTGCGAGGGTGCAAGTGTGTGGGTATTTGCAGTACGTGTGTGTGTCCCTTGAGGTGTATATACATATGTGTGTAGTTGTGAGGTGTATATAACTATGTGTGTAGTTGTACGGGTTGTGTGTTTTGAGTGTAAGGGTGTTACATCGGTGTGTATTCCCACATTCAGCTATCAGAATTATCTCTGTGGTCTGCACATGCTCTCCCATCACCGTAGCCATACGTACACCGACTCGCTACACCTCGGCCACACCCACCCCTCTCCACACACACACACACACACACACACATCTCAACTAAACCCTACACCCCTAAACCCTAAACCCCTAAAACCCACACCCACACAGGATCCAAGTCCGACGCCCAGGCCCCCTCCGGCAGCCTCACAGCGCAATCGTCCATCCTGACCAACCACTACGTGTCTGACTCCACCCTTGCAGCCAAGGAGAAGTCGGCCTGGTGCACTCAGCTCATCCAGCTACTACTGCGCATGGGCAGTGTCTCGTCTCCCGGCATCCCGCCCTTCGTGTGCCTGAATATGGCCAAAAGGGGCTATGGCGGGCTCGTGCTGCCGGTCACGCGCACGCGCACATGGCCGGGTGCGGCTTACACGTTCATGGCGTGGCTAAAAATAGACCACTGGTGCGATACGCCGCAAGGCCCAAGTACCGAACATCCCGTGCGTGTGTTCACCCTGTCCAGTCCGGCGCAGACCTGGATGACGGCGACCATCTCGCGCGACACTCAGACACTCCGAATCCATTGCGGGAAGGCCAACAGTCCGGCCCCAAAATCTTCGGGTGCACCGGCCCCGGCCGACAACCCCACCGCGGCGGCCTCCGGTTACCATGGCAACCTGCAGTGCGACTTTGACAAGCACAAGTTCCGGCCCAACCGATGGTACCACGTGGGGCTGGTGCACTCGCGCATACGGCTGCGTGCCAGCACAGCCACTCTGTACGTCAACGGTCTCAAGGTGCAGTCCGAGAAGGTGTCCTTCATGCCTGGCCCACCCAACAACGGCAGTCAGAGCGCCGGAGAGGTGGTGTGTGTGGTGGGCACCCCGTTTTGGCAGCGGAGGACTAGCAGTCTGTCCTGGTCCTGCGGCCCTGTTTGGCTGGTCAGTGAAGCGCTGTCGGCGCATGCGGTGTGTGCGGCGTACTTTGTGGGGCCAAAGTACACGGGAGCGTTTACGGGCAAGCTCAGGGCGTATCAAACCTACGAGGTCATCTCAGCACGCACCCTCACGGTAAGAGAGGGGGGGGAGGGTTAGACGGCTGTGTGTGTGTGTGTGTGTGTTTGACTGTTGTTAGACTGTTAAGAGTGGTAGAGGGGTGAGTGTATCGTATGATTACGGGGTGAAGTGGTTTGTGTGTGGTGTGCTTCTGTTTATGAGCGTATTGAAAAGTGAGAGATGCATGTAGAGTGTGGGGTGGGATGGTGGGTGGCTGTTGTGAAAGAGGAAGACGTATCGTATGCGTACAGAGGCGTTCAGACAAGCAATATATATATATATATATATATATATATATAAAGTGTGGTATGGTTGGTACTGGACATGTGCTGAATGCGGCTGATATAACTAGTCATTGACAAAGCAAAAGGTACGTAGGTTGTTTACTTCTTCTTTTAGAATTATACTCCTACAAATAAGAGTTATATATCTATATATAGTCATTAGTAGCCGATTCTCTTGTTCAACTCTGCACATATACACAGTAAAAATAATCTTGCTGTGCACCTACATGCACATATAGTAGTCAGCTCGTCAGGGGGCTGGTTGGTCTAGCCACCCACAACCTCACGCCAATAACTTAGTTTACAACATACTATAGTTTACAACATACTTAGCTCTAACTTAGTTTGCAACATACTTAGCGGCTAATCCTGCCATAAAACAACGTAGTATCTCACTTCCCAGCTTCTAACCCGCACACCATTCCTCCCCACACACAGACCTTCAAAGGAGCCGACCTGGCCATCTACAACCTCAACAACGCACAAGCAGCCATGCCGTCTGAAGACGTGGTCGAGTTCTCCATGCATGTCGGCAACACAGTCACCGACTCACACCTCTCAGCTACCTACGTGCAGAGACTGCTGCACGGTGACGCCCTCGGGCCACAGGTGAAGAGCATGCTGCTATCGCTCATGGGCAATGCCGAGCTGAGCTGCGGCGGACAGTACACAGTGATACGGAACGCCGTAGAGACCACCAGCGCGCCGACGGGGCAGATGGGGGCGGAAGGGCTGATGTTTGGCTGTGCACGCGCACACAACAGTGTGTGTCTGAGCGATGGCATACGCATGGTGAGTGGGGTGCCCGTGGTACTGGACGTGATCCAGCACTCGGAGAGTATCAGCGATCTCGAGGCCGGGCTGCGGTTGCTAAGCACCGCCGTGCGTTACCACGCCAACCTGACCGGCCAGATGGAGGCCATGCTGGGCTACCAGATCGTTGCCATGGCGCTGAAGAAACGGTCGCGCATCCTGTCTCTCGGAGTGGTCAATGTGTTGTTTGAGTTAGTCGGTACCAGCATGAACGTGGCCACGGGTACGCTGGGTAACATCTCGGCGTTCAAGAATCTGTTACTGGACTATGAGATCTGGCGATACTCGGACGTGAGTGTGACTACGGCGGTGTTCAGTAAGATACTAGCCCTCATCACCACCACCAACAGTCTTTGGAAGTTCAACATCCGCCGCCTGCGCAAACTCTACATCACGCAGCGGCTGCTGTTCCTGCTCAGAGACGAGACGGTGCCCGAGAGTGCCGTAAAGGTGGTGGTGCAGATCATTGGGAGGCTACTCAGTATAGAGGGGACTGAGGATGATATGGAGCGTATCGCACGGTTTATGGTAACCACGGTGAACCCGGACCAGGACGTGAGTGACCATCCGGTGCTGACTACGCACAAGCCCAGCCACAGCTACGCTCACCAACCCCCCGAGGAAACGCTGTCGCCGGTACCACAGGGTCTGGGGAAGGGCGGGCTATCCCCAACGGCCTCTAATGTTAGTCTGAATAGTACCAACCGGCCAAACTCTCCGGTGAAGAGCAGTAAACGAGACTCTAGAAGCCTTGCACGGACGGTGGACAAGGTGGGGGTGACGCATCACAAGGTAAGACGGTGGTAGGTGGACATAGGAAAGATGGAGGAATCGGGTGCTTTCACAGGCACATACGTGCTCATCCCTGCCTGTATATGCTATATATATATATATATATATGTATGTATGTATAACTATTACTGAATATCCAAGCAGTATTTGTACATCCATAAATGATAATGCGCACCTATAAACTCGAAGAGTTGCTGTCCGTCCTGGACCAACATAGATGTACACGCTCTATTCTACACCCACGTATTTCACATTGTTACATTTTCAGCACATTCTCTGTCTACTTAATTTTTAACCTATAAGTACGCACCGATACATATTCAGCACTCACTTATTCATTTACATACCCATCTTTGACACATATCCGTACATATTTTAATCGCCTATACGTTATATACCTTAAACACCATACTTTGGATGCTCGAGTATGCATTTACACATCTTTGACGCTCATATTTACACAGATTTAACTTTTATTTGCACATCTTTGACACTCATATTTGTCCATATTTATCACTCATTTTCACATCTTTGTATCATTCTATCTTTTTCGTCACTCATATATATGCATCTCTACCACACACACTTGCACTTGTTTTATCCAACACCCATTCTTATGGTACATCCATAGGTGGTGGTGCGTAACTACATGTTGGAAGAGCTGCTGTCCTTCTTAGACCAACAGGGCGAGAAGGCCCTGGCCAAAGTGCTTCACATCTTCGGTGTTCAGTGGGTCATGTTGTTTGTTAATGAGAATACGGACCAGAAGTCGCTGATACTGGCGCTGCGGTTGCTGGTGATGTTCTTAATCCAGGCACCGGATCGTCCCACGGTGTTGATGCAGTTTCGTAAGACGTACCAAGGTGGGTTTAGGGTTTAGGGTACTGGATTAGTAGGATTGTAGGCCAAGCCGTTCAGGCGGGTTTAGGGTTTACGGTCCAGGGTATTAGAATTGTAGGCTAAACCGTTAAGGTGGGTTTAGGGTTCTGATCTTAGCGTTAATTCGGTTTGCCACGTAACCGGTAGAATTCAGTCTTGCCCGTCAGAGGGCGGCCAACATACCACCCCTATATTTGGTTTTACTCATTCTATTTTTAGACTACTCATTATATTTTTACCTTGCTCTTGTTATGTCCCAGGGTTTCTCCGTCTGGGCCGTGGCCTAGAACCGCACGCCCGGTGCGCACAACTGTACTTTTCGCTGTATGCCTTACTACTTGGTGTTAACATATCTGACATCCCCTTTGGCATGTCACTGGATATAGCTGCCCTCTACAACTTCTTCCCGGGTACGCTGGAGTTTGCCGAGCCCCAGACCCTGATTCTATTATTAGAACTGGAGCGTTCGCTTCAGCATACCTACCTTTTGGATACCGCCACTGCGGAGACCGACCTGCCCCACCCAGCCTCTGAATGGGAGATCCCGGAAGATGACAAGGACCGTATAGAAGTAGTGGGGGTCACGAATATCATGTTCATTGCTCATCTGTATAACAAGTCCAGACACCCTTTCTACTTCACCAGCGCCTTCCTGGGTGCGTTAATTGCCGTGATGTATCCCACGCCCCTGGTTAAAGTCACCAGCAAGAAGCGACCGGCCTCTGCTGGCCAGACTTCCAGGTAGGTGCTTATATAGCCAGTATGTAAGTCATTTATATATAGATATATATTAATATATATATATATATAATATTATAAAGATATATGTATATATGTATATATAGATATATATTAATATATATATATATATATATATATAATATTATAAAGATATATGTATATATGTATATATGTATATATATATATATATATATGGATGGATGGATGTATGTATGTATGTATGTATGTATGTATATGCATATGTATACGTATTTGTATATGTATTTGTATATGTATGTATGTATGTATGTATGTACGTATATACG